AGAAACAATCTCATTTTCTCTCTAGCCTCTCTATTTTTTTTCACTTACCCACTTATTACTGAGAACAACTCTCTCCCTCAGATGACAGCAGCCTCTAAAGACAAGCTGACGATACAGGAGTGGAACTAGCTCTGTCTCAAAAAGCACAGATTAAAGCACCGTCTCTTGGAGGAGGAGGCCCAGCTCCCAGAGCAATCCTCACCAACGGGGCAGACAAGAGCCAGCCAGGTCTGGTGCCTGCCTTCAGGTGAGCAAAGCTCAGCGAGATGCAGGCCACCAGGAGGGGGAAATCGCTGCACACATCATCCCCTTCGCTCCCACCAGAGCCAGGACAAGGGCGACTTTGAAAAGCCCCACGTGAACAAAAAACAAAAGCAAGCCAGCGCATATTTTGGCAGATCGAGATAACAATAAAAGCTGGCACAGCGGCATTCTCCAAAGCCTCCATATCGTGGTAAGATCTAGCCCTAAAGCTTCCTTTGATTTTGTTGGTTTGGGTTTTTTTTTTTCCCTTTAGCTTGCTACAGATGAATCTGACTGCTAAGTGACACTGTTGGCAAGACAGAAGGGCTGGAAAGACATTGCCACAAAACTAACAGCAGCGATACATCTGAGGAAACTTCCCTGTTCGGGCTCTCTCAGAAGAATCAAGTAACTGTCACTGCCAGCGTAAACAGACTTCCGCGAACACAGCTAAGGAAAGGGGAAACCAGATGTTCCTAGAAATTAATAACTATAAGTAAAACTTTTAAATTTATTTCCCAGCCTTCCCCTCAGTTTGTTTACTTAGATACCCGTCTTCCAGCGAACACCCTGAAAGACATTACGGCCACCTTACAAACTCCCGAGCAGAGCACACCACAGAACTTCCAGGCTGTTGGCCGAGCTGCAATACTTGCCATTGCTTTTATTAAAAAAAGAAAACTATTGAGGCTTGATGTAAAAGTTGCCAGCAAATACAAAGTCATCACTGATTTTGGGAAGTTTATTCTCATGCTTGATTGTCTATCACTTAAAAATACATGCTTTGGTTTCTATGCACGCACTCGTATACCACCACCAGCCATACTGAATTCCCACAGTCCAACTTCTGTCCTCCGCAAGTACACACAGACTGACCAAATCTTCTCGTTGAAGGAAGCAGATGGAGTTCTCGTCACCGCACGGCAGCTTTTTTCACCTTTAATCCCACCCTCATACATCGTCTCTGGACTCTGCCCAGCTTTCCACCAGCCTTTGCACCACACACGGGCACCAAACCTGGGCGCAGCGGCGCAGAAGCGTTTGCACCAGTGAAAGCTGAGCTAACGCACCCTCTCCTCCTTCTCGACAGCCGTGGTGAGGTACCAAAGATCCCCTCCGCCCGCCTGGCTCCAGCCCCGCTCCGCGTTCAACATCGTCACGAACCCACGCAAAAACTACTGCTGCCTGGGGACAGGCCTCGCTCCTTCCCCCCTTGCTTCTCTGTTGGTGTAACAGCCTATTCCTGAGCAGTTTGCTTTCTCTGGTAATAGATGCGTGGCCTCGCCAGAAGTACAGTGCCAAACTAACCAGACCACTGTATCGGATCCTAACCTGTTATTTTCCGCTCAGCACTCCAAGCTGCTCGTGCACTCCATCAGCTTTTAGCTGCAAACTTTCTTCGGGTCATTGACAAAATCAGCAGTAGGATCCTTACGAGACCGTTAACATAATGTTCTGGGAGCCACCAATTTAACATGGGTTATTTTGAGCTCATCCCCCTTCAGTTAATGCAGCAGGAAAACCCGAAGGCGTCGTAT